ATTCCTCCTCTCTTCTCATCAGGTGTCGTCTCCACTCCCATCATAGAGGTTGTCTCCAATAACAGTGGAAGTGTAGTTCTACAGTGTGAGTCTAAAGGCTGGTATCCAGAGCCTGAGGTGGTCTGGCTGGACGGTGAGGGAAACCTCTCTCTGCTGGACCTACAGAGACAGTCAGAGGTCCTGATGACCTCTATACTGTCAGCAGCAGAGTGACTGTGGAGAAGAGACACAGCAACATCTTTATCTGTAGAGTCCAACAGAAGGACATCAACCAGACCAGAGAGACACACATCTATGTTCCAGGTTATAAAGAGCTCTAAATATATTAAACATATTGTCACTGTTGAGCTCTAGTTTGATTCAATAATGTCATTCTGTTCTCTCTTCTATCTTTTCATCTGATTCATTCACAGTTCAGTCGTCTCCTGGTGGAATTTGGATCATCGTCAATCTTCTTTGCATTTTTGTGGTGCTCCTTATTATGATGCTGATAAACTGTAAGTCACATATTTATTTTCCTTTTTTATTCCAAGTTCCTGTCAGAGCTCTTTATTGACATACATACAGGCATAACAACAGTAACTAAGCAAACAGTCTGAAATGATCTTCACTGCAGGAAATTTGGGGAAAATGGAGGAAATAAAAGAAAATGTGTTTCTTTCAAAAGTTTTCTCTCATTTGGAAATGTTCTGTTTATGAAAGTCACTGTGATGTTAAAAATATTCCAGTTCATTTATCATATTTTTGTTCTGCTTGTGTAGTTTTCTCACTTTAACACTCATTCATTGATTAGACAAAAACACATGAACACAACAACTTCAACACTTTCCTGTTTCTGTTGGTTCACAGGCACAAAGTGGATCCTGAGGAATGGAATTAAACTGGAAGGAGATGTAACACATGGTGTGAAACAGTCAAAGTTAAAGGTCAAAGGAAAGCCAAAAGTCCAGAAGTGTGATGTAAATATGAATGCAGCTCAACTCCAGCTCTTAGTCGAGGGAAATCAGCAACAGGAGGACCAGAGAGAGCAACTGGACAGAGTTCAGAGATCGCAGACAGAGGAAACATCAACAGCAGGAAATAACACTGAAGACACTTTAAAACACAGAGAGACGCAGCGTTGAACGACGTGGACTAAAAACCTCCTGTAGTGACCGAGAACGAGGAGGAAATCATTGTGACACTGGAGGATATTCTCCATCTTTTCCTGCTCTACCATCACGCTGAGAGAGAATGATGATGTTGTTTGTCTTCCTAGTTTACAATCTATCCATTGTGACTTTGTTTTCAGTCTATGTGAGCAGGTGTTGTCTTTGAGCCAGTGAAAAGGCTGCAGACACACAGTGAAGAAGGGAGATCTTAATGATGTTGGTGTCCAGTCTAAGATATGAGCTGTGACTGAAGATTCCTGCTTTCATTTCATGGATTGTATCAAAGTTCCCACTTTAGCACTTTAAAAGAATCTGAACTGTTTTGTAAAATGTCAACAGGTTGTGTACAAAAGGCTGTGACTGTGTTTAATATTCATTATTATCATCATCATCCATTCTCATCTCTTTGAACACAGAACTGTTCACTGACAGTTTCTTTATGTGTTCATTTTATGAGTTTATCTACAAAAGAAAAGTCTGCATTGTTCTCCTTACACTGTGTGCTGGTTGAGATTTGTCCTGTAAGGAGCTGTGGATGTGACAGGATGCTCCTTTAGTTTCTGGTTTTAGTGACAATGAAAATACTGATCTTGGCATTAACCTCTGTTCACATTTTAGTATTTATTTCTGCACTTTTCTGTATTTATAATTCCTTAACTGCTGTCTGTAAGTCAAATTAAAGCTTTCTTGTACTCGACACTATTAAAACTATCAATAGATCATACTCTCATTTATTATGTCATTGTGGTCATTTTCATCATTGTCAGTAATTCAGACACTATTTGACTTTACATTTGGAACCTTTAAAGTAATTTAACAATGTAATAAATCCTTAAAAACGTTATGTTCAATGGTCTGACTGATAGAAATAGTCCATTTGTTTTCATTTAGGCAGCAGAGCTGGGGGTTAAAGAGTTAATTGGGATGATGTTGTTTGTCTTCCTAGTTTACAATCTATCCATTGTGACTTTGTTTTCAGTCTATGTGATATAATATTCTTTATACTTAATACTGTGATCTTCTGCACATTCCAGCAAAACCTGTAAATCGTCCATATAATGTAATATAATCATTTTAGCATCTTATAATAATGTTTATGTACTAAGTGCTTCACATAGGACCACAACTTCATAACAACTTGATCATTTTGGTCATTTGTATTTAGAGAACAATTCTTATCATGGCTGCCACTCAAGTACTTCCTTCTCCTTGAGAGAGAGAGAGAGAGAGAGAGAAATTACTGAAGATGTCAAATCAATATCTTGTCATACATATTGAGTACACACAGTTTCTGTTTGCCAGTATTTTCTTGTTGTTGTTTATCTCCTCATTGTATTAATGAACATTATTATTGACTGAATGTATTCTGAGAGAGACATTGCACTGCCCTGAGTTACACTGTATTACCATTATGGTGAGAACTACTGGAATCTTTATACTAATAACAACTACTGAAATATTTGTTTACTATATTTTATTGTTGTTGTTATTCTGATTGATCTCAGTATTGCTAGTTCCATTAGTTTAGTCGTATACTTTGTACATCCGTTTATACTTGACTAATAAAATACTTAATAACCTTTACTGGTGTGTTTATTTTAAAGTAATAATTCTTACAGCATTATTGTTCAAGAACAACTACAAAACGATATGATGATAGAAACATGAATCAGGTTCAACTCTAACTGGAGAGATCTTCTGTATAACATTCAAAATGTGTCTTTTAAATATACTAAAGTGTTTTGATGCCCTGATGATCCACAGAGGGAGAAGCTCTTGAACTGTAGGTTCAGTGTCCTCAACCTGGCAACCCAGGTGAGCTTCTAGTGTGGGGAGGAGAGATTGGGGGGAGACAACCTCCTACGATGTTTTAAATTTGGACTGCAGTACCCATTTTAAACACTTGCTGTCAGTCTTATTGCTCCTTTAATGATGTTGGTGTCCAGTCTGAGATATGAGGGCTGACTGAAGATTCCTGCTTTAATTTCATGTAGGAGAAGATAAGATAGACTTTATTGATCCCACACTGGAAACTCACTTGTTACAGCAGCTGCAGATAAAACTCAGAAGATAAGAAAGAAGATATGTAAACATTAAATAAGCAATTAACATAAAATGAAAACAATAGAATTAATTAATTATTGTGTAAATGTATGTATGTAGTGTATCAACGTTTCCACTTTAGCACTTTAAACTGTTTTATTTGTCCTACGAGTGAAAATGTCAAAGTTCTTTAATAATTCAATGAAAAAAAGCTTTATTGCTGAAAACATCATGAATGATGTCTGATTGGATTTGATCAGGTGTTCATCCTCCAGGAGACTCAGTCAGTCTGTTCTTCATGTCTGCAGTTAACTGCTTCATCCTCTATCAGCAGCTCTCCTCTTCCTCTGCAGGAATATGTCTCCTTATGAACAGCCACAAGAGGGCGCAACAGGCTTTCTGACAGACACACAACTAAACACTCAACAGTGTTTACTTTATACCTCAGTCTGTATAAATGAGCTGACTGGTGCATTCAAATAGTTAAAGTGTGGGAGACCAAACCTCGCCTCTGTTTGACCCCTGATGAGGGTTGAATCAATGAAAGGTCCAGTGTGTAACATTGAGGAGGATCTACTGGCACAAATGGAAGATAATAACTATGTTTTCATTAGTGTTTAATCACCTGAAAATAAGAATCAAACCAACATTCAGGCTCTAAAATACAGGAGGTTTTTAATAGTGTCCATATTAAAGGCATGGTCACTATCCTGGTGTGTTTGTGTGTGTTTAGATATTTTAGGTGAAACGTCATCCTGCTCTGACATTTTTACAACCACTGAATCTGGTTGTGTGTTTCCAGTTTGTGACGACTGACAGTTGGTTTTTATTGTATATTGTGTTGATAGAGTGCACATTATTTCATAGACGATGTGGCAACTTGTTTGTTGTTTATTCAGCCTCAAACTCTAAAAGTGAAACACTTGGTTTCACCCTGACTGAAAGTCAATATAAAGTCACACCCGTTATCTAACCCACAGTGAAAGTACACATTGTTTATCTGAGGTTGTCTTTGTGGATATTTTATTCTGGACTCATAGGATTGTTATATCAAACACTTAATAATACATTATTTTAGTGATTTCTTTCACATGCCATTATTCTATTTATTTATAGTGTGTTTCTGGGTTAAAAGTCAAACAGTCTTTTTCTGCAGTATTATTTCATTCATGTGGCTACAGTAGTGAACGCTGTGGTAATCTGGGACCAATCAGCATTTTACTTTGTATTCACACATATCCAACCTGCTTTCCTCTTGTCTTAACTACAATGTTCAACTCTGTTTTATTTGGTACTAATAAAACATTCAATCACATTGTTCAGGAGTTTATATGAACAGTAAAACCACCACTGTGTTCAACAAAGGTCTGAATCATTACACTGATTACACTGCGTTCAGTTATGATTGAGATATTTTAGAGTGAATTGATTTATTCTCATTTTCAGAACTCCAAGATGATTCACATGAAGGACAGACTGATCCTAAAGTGTGAGCTCAGTGACCACAGTGCGTTGGTCTTTCATCACACTGTAGTCCTCCTCACGCACTCTTCTGCCTATGCACCAAACAGCAGTTAAGAGTATTCGGCCTTCTTGAAGACCCTGAATGAAGTCCTGTATAGGGCTCCAGTATGGGACTCCATTGTTCTCCTGGGAGACTTCAACGCACATGTGGGCAATGATGGAGACACTTGGAGGGCCGTGATTGGGAGGAACGGCCTCCCCGAGTTGAACCCGAGCAGTGTTTTGTTACTGGACTTCTGTGCTAGTCATGGATCGTCCATAACGAACACCATGTTTGTACATAAGATGCTCGTAAGTGTACGTGGTACCAGAGCACCTTAGGCCAAAGTGAACTGGGAATGTCTGGAGGAGGCCCCTGTCCGAGAGACCTTCAACTCCCACCTCCGGGGGAGCTTCTCCGGCATGCCTGCGGAGGCTGGGGACATCGAACCAGAATGGTTAGTGTTCAAAGCTTCTATTGCTGAAGCTGCGGCTGTGAGCTGTGGTTTTAAGGTCTTGGGTGCTTCAAAGGGCGGTAACCCTCAAACACGGTGGTGGACACCGTTGGTCAGGGAAGCCATCCGACTGAAGAAGGAGGCCTTCCAGGATATGTTATCCTGGAGGACTCCTGAGGCAGTTGCAGGGTACTGACAGACCCGAAGGACTGCAGCCTCAGCTATGAGGGAAACAAAACAGCGGGTGTGGGAGGAGTTCCAAGAGGTCATGGAGAACGACTTTCAGACAGCACCCAGGCGCTTCTGGAAAACCATCCGACACCTCAGGAGGGGGAAGCCGAACCATCCAAGCTGTGTACACTTTAGTCAGACAGACAGACAGACAGACAGACAGACAGACAGACAGACAGACAGACAGAGATTTACTGCCAACTGCACATCAACTTAACCTCACAGTCAGATAGTTCTGTTCATCCCCACTGAGGAGGAGGCGGGGCCCTACAGAGCTCATGTCAGGGACCGTATATGACCTCCACTGACAAACACTGACAAACACTGAAATAGGAGGTGTGACTAGACCTCAACTTGTTTTTTTTGTGTTGTTAACTTCACTAAAATGGCCTCTCTGGGACCTTGTCTAACAGAGGAAGTTGAACGTGTGGCTCTCTTTGGGGTACCTGTCTTCAGGTGATCCTGATAAGTGGTCTCATAAAGCTGGTTGTTAACTGGTTCAGTGAACTCTGAGTTTATCAATGCAGCTACAAGAGTCATGAGGAAGAAGACAATCTTTTTAAATTTGTTTCTGTGCAGGAAGAAGTTGTAATGTCTGTAAACACAGTATGAACAGGACTAAACTTTATATGAAAACTATTCTAACAGTCGGATTATTAGTCATTCAGTCAGTGTTCAGTTACATCCTGTGGTTAAATAATACTGACTGAACTTATGAGAAACTCTTTAGAGACCAACAGAGACACAAACCCACAGACAGAGAGGTGGAGATAAATTGAGGTTGAGGTTGTGTGACATTTTAAGTGAAGGTACTTTCCTTTCAGTCAGTGTGAGAACAGAACAACATCACAGTGGAGAGTTTGCATCCATCACGCTGTAAGTCAGAGTTTCTTTTTAAAGTAAAACTTGAATGTTAAATGTTGGATTTGTCATCATTTCATTCTTTGACTGTTATAACAATGTGCAGATTATTTTATGGACAAACTCTCTGTGTTGTTTATTGTGATATCATTATAGTCTATATAAAGTGGACTCACACTGTTACGTAGACACTGAGTCTGTATTTTTATATTGTTATCATTTATTTTACAAACCTTTTATTGAAAGTTTTGAACTCTGAAAGACGATGAAGTGAAAGATTAAATATGTTTTTATCCTCCAACAGTGGAGGAGGAAGAACTCTAACAGTCAGTAAATGAAGCACTACCACAAAATACATAGTCCTTAATCAGTATTTTACTCATTTAATCAATAATCTACTTTCAGGATGAAGTACTATTAACAGTTAAAGGATAAATGTTACAGTTCTTTTAAATAAGAAATATGATTTATTGTATACTTATATATAGAAACATACATCAAATCAATATTTAGTTTTACAAACTCTCAGTATTTTAGTGTTTAGAAAGGAAATATTTGTATTTCGTAAATAATTATCTCATATTTCTGTTCTACAGTGTCACAGTCGCCTTCTTAAATGTGATGAAAATGTTTAAAATCAATAAGAATACTGTATCAGTGATTAATATTTAATAGGGACGTTCCGGTCCGAGTCTCTTTATATTGATTAGAAGCTGAGTCCCGATCCGATACTGTTTTAGATAATAGTGCACACTTCCAGTACATTAAAGTTACTGAAATCAATCCAGTGTACAGGCCTGACAAATGAATATCTCTGCACTAAGAAACAAAATGACTGTATCGAAGCTTAATGTGTTTTTTGTTGTTGTAAATAATAAACTCTGTAATCTTTGGTCTTATCGCGAGTGTTTCCTGCTTCAGTGAAGCTTTAACTGAGTGACTGAATGAACTGTTCTGAGGGTTTATTACTGTTTGGTGCATTCATTAGTTACTCTTTATGGCCTTTTGTAGTTTTGTCAACAAGAGGCTGTTTGGTTTGTCATTTTGGATGCAGAGGGAACTATGGGTGCCCACGAGTCTCCTCTTTTGCAGACTTTATGTGAATCTTGTTTGTTGCATGTGGTTTAAATGTGATATTTTTGTGTGTATTTGAATATTTCTGCATACTGGAGTCCATAAACAGTGTGTGAATGATACTCTGACTCTCTGGGGAGCTCCCTTTTCAACTGTTGTTGGTGAACTGACAGTAACACACAGAATACTGCAGAACAGAGAAATGAATAATAGCTGTTCGGGGGGCAGATTGATGATGATGGTGGAGTTTCCGTGTGGGCGGATAACTTTTACAAGCTGCAGATTATTTTCTCTGTTTGACTGTTGAACAGATAGTTGGTGTTTCACTCCAGTGTCTCACTGTTGTTGTTGTTGTTTTATGTTTTTTCCCCAGTCTTCCTCTTTACGAGGTAGAGCGGGTCGTTCACTGATCAGAAGGCGGTTCGATCCCCGGCTCCCCTGGCATGTCGGGGTGTCCTTTAGTAAGATACTGAACTGCATACATCGAGTATTTAATATATTTTGGAAAGAGTATTGTGATATCAGTCTATATGTGTATATAGTGTATACATATCAATTCCATAAGGATGTTACTGCATGAAGTGTCTGAGCACTGTCTTTACAGACCTTTACTTTAAATCTCCTGACAACAACAGCAGGCTGCTTCAATATAACCATACAGAGCTCTGCACACATCACACTGCTCGGATAGAACTCCATATTCTGCTTCTTTATCAAGGACACGTCCGGTTACCAGCGCAGATTTTGGCAAACTTAGAGTCTCATGTTTTATCCGTGAAACATTAATATATTAATAAATAATTTAAATAATTTATATTATATTATGATTATATCATATATATATATAATATATGATATAAATAAAAATTAATAGTATATATTATACTATATTATATTATATTATATAGTATAATATATAATAGTATATTTTATATTATATATTATATTATATTATATTATATTATATTATATTATATTATATCAAAGTCAAAGTCATAGTCAGCTTTAATGTCAATTTCTTCACATGCACCAACAACAACAAAGGAATCGAGAGGACGTTTCTCACTCTCCCACGGTGAAACAGATAAAGTGCACAGGCACACAGATAAGACATTTACTAATGCTAAAAAGATAGACAATAAAATATAAAACATACAATAATATAAAATATACAATACTTATGGTAGTGAAAAAAGGCAGTCGGTAACGGCAGCAAAAAAATCTGTGAGATATATTTGTAACAGTAACAGTGCAAAAAGAACAGTCAGTAAATGGCAGCCAATTTCAGCTGGAAGGGCACATACCCCACCAGATTTTTGATAGATTAAACATTAATGTATTAATAAATTATTTATATTGTATTATATATATATATATATATATATATATATATATATATATGTATATGTAATATCATATAATATGATATTATACTATATAATATTATACATATATATATTATAGTATAATATAATATAATATTATATTCTATAATATGGTATAATATAATATATATTATATATATGTATATATGTATGCATTGAACCCTTAATGCCAAGCGCAATGTTGTCTTAAATAAATGTTACAAATGTCTTTTCAATAATTAACAGTTAATTTCCTGTGAAATGATTGAGGAGTTAACATGTGAGGGCAGTTTGATGCTTTAAAGGGTGCATTTAGATACACAGTCCATCTTAATACAAACATACATTGAAAGAGTTATTGATCACTTTTTCCTGAAGTGATGCTCATTGGACAAATCTTTTTATCATGAAATTCAAACACTGATATTCTTAAAACAGACAAAATGTCTCCAAATATACAAACAGACTGTACAGGAGGAGAAGAATAGAAAAAGTGTATACCACATAACTTCAGGCATATTTCACTGGTTTGCCCCAGAACATCTGTGGTCAGACAACGTGCCACTTTGTTGACAGTTATATCTGTTAGTGAGACACAGCAGAGGACGAACTGAAAAACAGATCACACTTTGCACCAGAACATCTGTGTGCATGTACGTGCAACAACCTGGTTTGTGGTTTAGTCAGTGACAGGAAGTCACAGCAGAGAAGGAGCTGAAAACAGATGCACTGATACACCGAGACAGAGAGAAGAGAGACAGTAAAAGAAAAACTAAAATCAGCTCTACAGTTTCTACCCTGTTCAACCTCATTTTCCACTTTTTAAACAAGCAGACTAAAGGTTTGTGTCTTTCTTTATATTCAGGAGTCTACGATGCTGTATCCAAAGACAGAGCTCTGTGATGGACTGTCCTTCAGGACCTGCAGGGTTTTCATCATTCTTCTAACACAGTGTTTAACAGGTAATTTACACATAGAAACAGTCCAGTAACACATTGAGTGTGTGTGTGTGTGTGTGTGTGTGTGTGTGTGTGTGTGTGTGTGTGTGTGTGTGTGTGTGTGTGTGTGTGTGTGTGTGTAGGTGTGCCAGTACTGTACAGTTTTTGCATATATATTTATATAATTTCCTACATGCTCATTTATTTTTACACCATGTCACTACCTCCGGCTGTAACCTCAATATTCACATCTGTATAAAAAGCTGTATATAGTGTACATATAAAAATATCTTTTTTTGTTATTTAATGTGTATTTATTTTGTATCTATCTTATCTGCTGTGTTGTATCTGGAGCTGCTGTAACAAGTGAATTTCCTCAGTGTGGGATCAATAAAGTCAATCTTATCTTGTTACTGTACTCGATGATACAGGACTGCCATTCAAATGATGGTAGAGTCACATTTTATTCACACTCTCTGTGAGTTGTTGAGTTAGACATGAGGTCACATATTGACTGAGAAAAATAATAAATTAAATAAAGAATTAGAAAGAGGACAAAAAGACTTCCCCAGCCAGAGACATTTTAAAACTTTACACTTTATGCTGCTGTCTGATATTTGTGCTTGAAGCTCAAACTGTGATGAGTGTGAGTCAGATACAGACTCTGAGGCTCCAGCGGTCGATTGTCTTTGTTTTTGATGCTTTTTTATTAAATGTTTTCTTACTTTTAGAAAGTAAAAATGAATCCATTCAGTCTGATGACATGTATTATAACTATACTACTGTTTCTTGTTTGTTCTTTAGTTTGCGTTGCAGGGCAGTCAGAGTTGATTTGTTCACATCAACCAATCGTAGCCCTGCCTGGTGATGATGTCATTCTACCATGTTACCTTGATCCTCCAATCAGTGCCAGTTCTGAGACAGTGGAGTGGACCAGACCTGGTTTAGACCCAAAGTACATCCATGTTCACCAAGATGGACGACTGATACATCAAATTCAAAATCCATCTTATTTTCTCCGAACGAGACTGTTTGAGGATGAACTGCAGAATGGAAACGTCTCCATGAAAATCTTCAAAGTGAAAATCTCTGATGCAGGAAAATACTTTTGCTTCCTTGAACCAATGTTGAAGGAAGCTTCCATCCAACTCACTGTTGGTAAGTCAGACTTTCTGAAGATGATGAATTACACATTGTGGTGACTGTTGCTACTGATGAGATTGATAGACTGAGTCAAACTAGTTGGACGTGTGTTCTCCACACAGACAACTTCTTCATTTTGCAAAAAGCTTTATTCTCTTATAACAAAATACCAGAACGTGTATGGTTACACGGCCAAAAACTGCTCACCTATTTCAATCACAAAGAAAAAATCTAACTCTGATCAACCCATCTTGTAGAATCGGATCCAGCCTGTAAATGCTGCTTTTCCTTTTTACTCCAAACCTCTCAGACATCACTGCTTCAGTTTCACTGTGGGATCTTTCCTTCTGACTGAAGCGAATGATGGCAGACAAACTCTGACCTAATGAACCTTTCAACATTTCATGCTCCACCTTGGCTTCAGTATCTCCATGGGCATTTTCCAGACAATGCTTCCTTTTCTGACTCTCCCAGTGTTTTTACAATAATCACAAAAAATACATGCAAAATGGCAGCAACACACATTTCTGCTGACTGCAAAGATCAGTAATGTAACTTTATATTAGAAGTAAGCAGCCATGATAAGACACAAAGAAAACAAAGTCAAACAGGCAGAAGATGAACACTTTAAAATATAAAGTCAGAGTAAAATCAACATTGACTGGAAGAAACATTAAATGTTTCCTGTGGAGTTTTATTAGAAAGAAACATTTCTGTTAACATTCAGTGTTTCTTATCAAAGTACTTTGTGTGTTTCCTTCAAGTCTAACAATTATGTTGAAAGCTATATTAGGGAGAGCATGTTTAGTCACCAGCAATCTTCTTCCTGTCTTTGCTGCTCCAGTGCAGTGTTTATTTGGCTCATTACTGCCACCTGTAGGTCACATTGTTAGATAGATAGATAGATAGATAGATAGATAGATAGATAGATAGATAGATAGATAGATAGATAGATAGATAGATACTTTATTCAACCTGAGGGAAATTCAAGTATCCAGTAGCATACAAAATACAAAACATACATTAAACATACATTAGACTAAAATTAAAATCCCTAACCTTAAGAATAGAATTAAAAATAAAATAGAAGATAAAATAGAAAGTATTATATATATAGATATATATATAATATATAAAATTAACAGTAGCTACAATAAATGGTGCGAACAGTGCAAATGGAAGTAAGTAAGTAAAACAGTGCAAATGGATGTGCAAAATACAGATAGAAATTGTCCATTGTCTATTATCTATTGTCCTCCCTGCCTTTACTGAGAGCTGTTGTACAGTCTGATGGGGGGACGAAAGAGTTTTTGAGACTGTTGGAGCTCGACTGGGACAGCAGTCTGCCACTGAACACACTCCTCTGCCTAGTGAAGGTGTCGTGCAGAGGGTGGTTGTCCAGTATGGACAGCAGTTTGTCCAGGGTCCTTCTCTTCCACTGTCACCAGAGAGTCCAGCTCTGTGTCCACCACTGAGCCAGCTCTCCTCACCAGTCTGTCCAGTCGACTGGCGTCTCTCTTCTTGCTGCTTACTCCCCAGCAAACCACAGCATAAAAGAGCACGCTGGCCACCACAGACTGGTAAAACATCTGCAGTAGTTTTTTGCAGATGTTGAAGGACCCCAGCCTTCTCAGGAATTACAGACGGCTCGGCCCTTTCCTGTGTAAAGCGTCCGTATTTGCCGTCCAGTCCAGCTTGTCGTCCAGCTGCAGCCCCAGATATTTATAGGTCCTGACCACCTCCATCGACCCCCTCCATGGACACGGGTGTGAGATGTGGTTTCTTCCTTCTGAAGTCCACCACCATGTCCTTGGTCTTGGAGGTGTTCAGCTGCAGATGGTTACTATCGCAACTATCGCAGTGTTGAGTATTGAGTATTTCTGCATGTGGCAGAGCCCAGAGTTATGCTGGAAGTCAGATGTGTACAAGGTGAAGAGGACGGGGAGAGCACGGTCCCCTGTGGTGCTCCGATGCTGCTGACCACAGTGTCTGCAGCACAAAAACGTGATTCTCACAGCGCCGCTCTCCTTGTCCAGATGAGAGTGGGCCCTATGGAGGAGATAGAGGATAGCATCCTCCACGCCCACCTTCTCCTGGCATCCAAACTGCAGTGGATCTTGTGCGTGGTGGACCTTCCAAATTATCAGAATATTGCTCAATTTGGCAAGATAATCTTAAAATTTATAGAAAGGCCCTCCGTAATGCCAGAGGAGCCTATTATTCAGCACTTATAGAAGAAAATAAGAATAACCTTAGGTTCCTCTTCAGCACTGTAGCCAGGCTGACAGAGAGTCACAGCTCTATTGAGCCACATATCCCCATAAACTTAAGTAGCAATGACTTCATGAGCTTCTTTTATAATAAAATTATTACTATTAGAGAGAAAATTAATCACCAACTGCCATCAACAGTTATCAGTGGCTCTCCAAGTTCAGGAACTTTAACAAATGTAAAATCATATATATATTTAGACTGTTTCTCTGCTATTGATCTCCATCAGTTAACTTCAATAATTTCTTCATCGAAGCCATCAACTTGTCTATTAGACCCGATCCCAACTAGGCTGCTTAAAGAAGTTGTTCCCTTAATTGGCACTTCTTTACTGGATATGATTAATCTTTCTTTATTATCAGAATTTGTACCACAGTCCTTTAAAGTAGCTGTAATTAAACCCCTTCTTAAAAAGCCCACTCTTGACCCAGGGGTTTTAGCCAATTATAGACCGATCTCTAACCTCCCCTTCCTCTCTAAGATTCTGGAGAAAGTAGTCGCCAAAGAGTTGTGTGACTTTCTTCATAACAATAGTTTATTTGAGGATTTTCAGTCAGGATTTAGAGTTCATCATAGCACAGAGACAGCTCTGGTTAAAGTTAATAATGACCTTCTGATCGCTTCTGACAATGGACTTTAGATTAGATCTTAGTGCTGCATTTGACACCATTGACCATAATATTCTTTTACAGAGACTTGAGCATCAAATTGGCATTACAGGAACCGCACTAAGCTGGTTTAAGTCATATTTATCAGATCGTTCGCAGTTTGTACATGTTAACGATAAATCTTCAATAAATACTACAGTTAGCCATGGAGTTCCACAAGGTTCTGTACTTGGACCAATATTATTTACTTTATATATGCTCCCTTTAGGCAATATTATTATAAATCACTGCATTAACTTTCACTGTTATGCAGATGATAAGCAGTTATATCTATCGATTAAGCCCGATGAAATTAACCAATTATCTAAACTACAAACATGTCTTAAGGACATAAAATCCTGGATGACCTGCAATTTTCTGATGTTAAACTCAGAAAAAAACAAAATTCTTGTTCTTGGCCCCAAAAACCTTAGAGACTCACTGTCTAAAGATATAGTTACTCTAGATGGCATTACCTTGGCCTCTAGCACCACTGTCAGAAATCTTGGAGTTATCTTTGATCAGGATTTGTCATTTAATTCCCACATAAAGCAAACCTACAGGACTGCATACTTTAATTTACGTAATATTACAAAAATTAGACACATCCTATCACAGACAGATGCAGAAAAACTAATCCATGCATTTGTTACTTCAAGGCTGGATTACTGCAACTCTTTATTATCAGGCTGCCCCAATAAGTCCATTAAAACGCTCCAATTAATTCAGAACGCTGAAGCACGAGTACTGACAGGAACTAGAAAAAGAGATCACATCTCTCCTTTACTAGCTTCTCTGCATTGGCTCCCTGTAAAATGTAGAATAGAATTTAAAATCCTCCTCCTCACCTATAAAGCTCTTCATGGTCAGGCCCCTTCATATCTTAAAGAGCTTATAGTACCCTTTTACCCCTCTAGAACACTACGTTCTCTGAATGCTGGGCTACTTGTGGTTCCTATAGTCTCTAAAAAGTAGAGCAGGGGCCAGAGCCTTCAGTTACCAAGCTCCTCTCCTGTGGAACCAGCTTCCAGCTGTGGTTCAGGAGGCAGACACCCTCTCCACATTCAAGAGTAGGCTTAAGACGTTCCTCTTTGATAAAGCTTATAGTTAGGGCTGGATCAGGTGAGTCCTGAACCAGCCCTTAGTTATGCTGCTATAGGCCTAGACTATCGGGGGATTTCCCATGGTGCACTGAGCTCCTCTCTTCCTCTCTCTTTCTGCACTCATTCATGTCCCATTAATGCATGTTACTAACTTCACTTCTTCCCCCGGAGTTCTTGTGCTTTCTCGTCTCGCAGGTTCTTATCGATCCTGGTGGAGCCTCCTGCCATGGTCCTGCTAGATTGCCATTGCCAATACTGTTGTTGCTGTGCACCTGTCTGTCTGTCTGTCTGTCTGTCTGTCTGTCTGTCTGTCTGTCTGTCTGTCTGTCTGTCTGTCTCTCTCTCTGTCTCTCTCTCTCTCTCCCTCTCACCCCAACTGGTCGAGACAGACGACCACCCACCTAGAGCCGGAGGATCTGTCCTAGGTTTCTGCCTTTTAACAGGCAGTTTTTCCTTGCCCTTGTCGCCAAGTGCTTGCTCATGGTGGTACTGTTGGGTTTTTGGTCTAGACCTGCTCTATTTGAAAAGTGTCCTGAGATAACTTCTGTTATGAATTGGCGCTATACAAATAAAATTGAATTGAATTGAATTGAATTGAATTGAATTGAATTGGACTGGACCTGGGGTCTAAGGACATGCAGCGGCAGCCCTTCAAAGGTCTTCATAATGTGTGACGTCGGTGCTACTGGTCTGAAGTCACCTGGGTCCTTGGGGTGTATTTTCTTAGGAACCGGGATGAGACATGAAGTCTTCCAGAGCACTGGGACCCTCCCCAGTTGTTCATTGTGTCACCGGCACAAGATAAAGCAAATAAAGACCCACTGATAAAAACACTGTTTCACAGCACTTACAGAGGTCAGAAACACCACAGGGTGCATTCAAAGGTCCAGTGTGTGAGAGTTATGGATCTCTACAGAAGTGGAATTAAACTCTGTTTGATAAGTATACAATCTCCTGAAGGATTAAGAATTGTTGTTACTTCATAATGAGCCTTTAATATTGCCATGGAGGCAATCATATTAAACCACCATCTTTCTACAGTAGCCCAAAGGGACAAACTAAACACTTGCTGTAGATACAGACTTTTATGTTTTTCGTGGCCACCGTAGTTTTTCCTTCATGTGTGGTTGAGTCAGTGGGTTCAGTTGGTTGCAATCTGCAATCTCACTGCTAAATACTACACACCTTTAAATTGCACATCATAACAGTTGATCGTGATGATCTTGATGAAGCAACGGGCATAAATACATTCAACATGTTTGTTCATTCAAAGAGTTTAAAGATGTTTTGGTGAAAAATGTTAAGTTGTAAACTTTTTATAATATATTTAAACTTTGATACAAGTTTGATCTTAAAATTCCTCCTCTCTTCTCATCAGGTGTCCTCTCCACTCCCATCATAGAGGTTGTCTCCAATAACAGTAGAAGAGTAGTTTTACAGTGTGAGTCTAAAGGCTGGTATCCAGAGCCTGAGGTGGTCTGGCTGGACGGTGAGGGAAACCTCCTCTCTGATGGACCTACAGAGACAGTCAGAGGTCCTGATGACCTCTATACTGTCAGCAGCAGAGTGACTGTGGAGAAGAGACACAGCAAATACTTCATCTGTAGAGTCCAACAGAAGGACATCAACCAGATCAGAGAGACACACATCTATGTTCCAGGTTATAAAGAGCTCTAAATATATTAAACATATTGTCACTGTTGAGCTCTAGTTTGATTCAATAATGTCATTCTGTTCTCTCTTCTAACTTTTCAGATAATTCATTCACAGTTCAGTCGTCTCCTGATTGGATTCTGATCATCGGCACTCCTGTTGGTATAATTGTGCTGTTCATCATTATCATCCTGACAATATGTAAGTCGCATATTTATTTTCCATTTTCTTTCCTCTGAAGTTCCTGTCAGAGCTCTTTATTGACATACATACAGGCATAACAACAGTAACTAAGCAAACAGTCTGAAATGATCTTCACTGCAGGAAATTTGGGGAAAATGGAGGAAATAAAAGAAAATGTGTTGCTTTCAAAAGCTTTCTCTCATTTGGAAATATTCTGTTTATGAAAGTGACCGTGATGTTAAAAATATTCCAGTTCAATTATCATATTTTTGTTCTGATTGTGTCGTTTTCTCACTTTAACACTCATTCATTGATTAGACAAAAACACATGAACACAACAACTTCAACACTTTCCTGTTTCTGTTGGTTCACAGACACAAAGAAGACCCGGGACTAAGTAATTTCACAGAGGCAGAGATGGATGAACAGCAGGATGTAAAAGAGGCAGCGTTTGTGATTCCAAGAAATCCAACAGTGATGATGATGTTGTTTGTCTTCCTAGTTTACAATCTATCCATTGTGACTTTGTTTTCAGTCTATGTGAGCAGGTGTTGTCTTTGAGCCAGTGAAAAGGCTGCAGACACACAGTGAAGAAGGGAGATCTTAATGATGTTGGTGTCCAGTCTAAGATATGAGCTGTGACTGAAGATTCCTGCTTTCATTTCATGGATTATATCAAAGTTCCCACTTTAGCACTTTAAAAACTGTTTTGTGAAATGTCAACAGGTTGTGTACAAAAGGCTGTGACTGTGTTTAATATTCATTATAATCATCATCATCCATTCTCATCTGTTTAAACACAGAACTGTTCACTGACAGTTTCTTTATGAGTTCATTTTATTAGTTTATCTACAAAAGAAAAGTCTGCATTGTTCTCCTTACACTGTGTGCTGGTTGAGATTTGTCCTGTAAGGAGCTGTGGATGTGACAGGATGCTCCTTTAGTTTCTGGTTTTAGTGACAATGAAAATACTGATCTTGGCATTAACCTCTGTTCACATTTTAGCATATTTATGCTTCTGCACTTTTCTGTATTTATGATTCACTGACTGCTGTCTGTAAGTCAAATTAAAGCTTTCTTGTACTCGAACTACTATTAAAACTATCTTAATAGATCATACTCTCATTTATTATGTCATTGTGGTCATTTTCAACATTGTCAGTAATTCAGACACTATTTGACTTTACATCTGGAACTTTTAAAGTCATTTAACAATGTAATAAAACACAGGGTGACTCCTTATTGAACAGAAACCTTTACACTCACTTTAAGCTCTCTGATATTAGAAAGAAAGGTTAGTGCGCCCCCTGCTGATAAATAAAGGTTCAATATTAGTGTCACTGCATCTTCCTCTTCATGCTCCTATAATGTGTGCTGCTCTCACGTCTCCAGGTTCAGACACTATGAGGACTTTGTATTAGAAGTAAGCAGCCATGATACAACAGAAAGAAGACAAAGTAAAACAATTCATGAACACTTAACAATGTAAAGTCAGATTAAAATCAACACTGACTGGAAAAAACCTGAAAGGTGTCCTGTGGAGTTTTATTCTACACAGACAACAGTTCAATCGTCTTCCTGCCTTTGCAGGTCCATTGCTGCGTTTGCTGCCACCTGTAGATCACAAGGTAACACAAACAGAGAGCCACTGATGAAGACATTGTTTCACAGCACTTACAGAGGTCAGAAACACCACAGGCTGTCTTTAAAGCAACTCTAAGGTTGGTATTTGTTGGGATTCAGCCCCTCAGTTACCACTGTGGTAAATATGGACAGCTGAACATGTGCTGATATCTTGTCGTCTGTTTTGGTTCGGCATCATTCAGCACAATTGTTGTTCCCATGTGTATGTGTTTGTCATTGAACTGGTGACTCTTACTGGTTGTTCTGGGTGCTGTTACAGAGGAGGCTGGGATCAGTGTAACAAATACTGCAGTGCAGGAACACTGACCATCACTAATATGAGGACTGAGAAGAAAAGAAGGAGGCTCAAAAGCTTCAATTCTCACGTTGGAATGAAATCTTTAAATATTATCACAGCTGTAATGAAAGTAAATGTCTTCTGTCCTTTCATTTTCAACTCAACCATCATATTTCTGTTGTGCTTCTTTAGTTTCATCATTTTCACACGTTTTCTGTTTCTGTAAGGAAAAAAACTGCATGAACACATGAATAGATTTCTTCTTCTGTTTGCACACAGTCTGCATGAAGAAAGACAAAAGAAACACTGAGACAGAGAGTCTAGAGTTATCTGGATTGTCTGTACAAACAGAAGAACTGGAGAACCAGAGAGCAACTGGGGAAGACAGAGAGAGTGCAGACCAACAGAGAAAACTTCAGGAGGAAGAAATAAAGGACTGTACACATCTGGAATGAGGAGGAGAAAGAGAGGGACAGAACAAACAAAGAAGATACAAAAGACAGAAAACCACGAAAACCAAAAGTGACATCAGTAGAAAGACAGAAAGGAGTCAGGAGTCGGTGTGAAAATGGAGGAGACAGAAGAGTTGGAGAGGATATAGAGAGGACATATTAGAGAGATGTGAGAAAGATCCCAATGAAGCAAAAAAGTCTCAAAATGCAGTTAAAGGAAAACTTTCCAATGACAGAAAGGAAGAGACTTTTTCTCACAAAAGGCTGTGACTTTGTTTAATATTCATTATTATCATTATCAACTTGTTGTTTTGGTTTTTTTTTCACTCTAAGCTATAAAGGAGTTTATTTTAATAAAAACAGTGTGTATAAAAAGCCCTTTGTATCGTGTACCACCTATAAACAAACAGCATGTTTCTATTATTTGAATTGTCCGATTTAATTTGACTCATTGTTGCCCTGAAATGTAAAATAAAATGTATATGTAATATACTTTTACTTCTTCTTCTGCTTATTATTATTATTATTATTATTATTATCATTATTATTATTATTATTATTATTATTATTATCATCATCATTATTATTATTATTATTATTATCATCATTATTATTATTATTATTATTATTATTATTATTATTATTATTATTGTTATTATCCTCCTTAAAACATAATGTTCAATGGTCTAACTGATACAAATAGTCCATTTGTTGAGCTCACTGGTATTAAAAAGAAAGCTTAGTGCGCCCTCTGCTGCCAAACAAAGTATAATATTTGTTATTATTCAATCATTTGAAGTATTTTACCAATCTGTTTTTATTTAGTTGAAGATTAAAATATATATTAATAATTGTTTTTATAATAATAACTTTATTTATATAGCACAAAAACAACAGAACACTAAGAACCATCAGTAATAATATAAAGAACAAATGATAAACACTATAAAACATTGCAATAAATAAAAGTATAAACAACAATAAAACTACAGTGAATATAAACCATTATTTAAATATCACTACATATATTAAAAAACCCTTATTATACTTTATTTATGGTAATTTTTTACATATATTTTCCTTTTTCCATCTTTATTTATTTATTATTTTCAAAACCTCATTTAACTTTTCAAAAATACTTACAAGTTCTCTCAAAGGGAACATAAATTGCATTTATACAAAAAAACATTTATTGTCTCTCAATTACCAAAAATGAAATCTACAAGGCTTTGTTAAAAAATATAGTAATAATAAAAAGAATAAAGAAAGATAAATAAGATTAATAAGATAAAAACAAAAATATAAACAAATACAGCAAGGCAAAAACCAAAAAACTGATTTTTATATATGTTACGGTAAAAGTAAAAGCATTTACATATATTACGGTAAATAGTAAAAAATGTACATATATTACGGTAAAAGTAAAAACATTTACATATATTACGGTAAAAGTAAAAACATTTACGTATATTAAGGTAAACATTTACATATATTACGGTAAAATAAAAACATTTACATATATTATGGTTGATAGTAAAAACATTTACATATATTACGGTAAAAGTAAAAAAAAAATACATATATTACGGTAAAAGTAAAAACATTTACGTATATTACGGTAAACATTTACATATATTACAGTAAAATAAAAACATTTACATATGTTACGGTTAATAGTAAAAACATTTACATATATTACGGTAAAAGTAAAAGCATTTACATATATTACGGTAAATAGTAAAAAATGTACATATATTACGGTAAAAGTAAAAACATTTACATATATACGGTAAAAGTAAAAACATTTACGTATATTAAGGTAAACATTTACATATATTACGGTAAAATAAAAACATTTACATATATTACGGTTAATAGTAAAAACATTTACATATATTACGATAAAAGTAAAAACATTTACATATATTACGATAAAAGTAAAAACATTTACATATATTACGGTAAAGTAAAACATTTACGTATATTACGGTAAACATTTTACATATATTACAGTAAAATAAAAACATTTACATATGTTACGGTTAATAGTAAAAACATTTACATATATTACGGTAAATAGTAAAAACATTTACATATATTACGGTAAATAGTAAAAAATGTACATACATTACGGTAAATAGTAAAAACATTTACATATATTACGGTTAATAGTAAAAACATTTACATATATTATGATAAATAGTAAAAACATTTACATATATTACGGTAAAATAAAAACATTTACATATATTATGATAAATAGTAAAAACATTTACATATATTACGGTAAAATAAAAACATTTACACATATTATGATAAATAGTAAAAACATTTACATTACGGTAAAAGTAAAACATTTAAATATATTACGGTTAATAGTAAAAACATTTACATATATTATGATAAATAGTAAAAACATTTACATATATTACGGTTAATAGTAAAAACATTTACATATATTACGGTTAATAGTAAAAACATTTACATATATTACGATAAATAGTAAAAACATTTACATATATTACGGTAAAATAAAAACATTTACATATATTACGGTAAAAGTAAAAACATGT